TCCAATAGATGTAGAATATATTCGTCTGTTACACGATATTCATGCAGACAATATAAAGGGCCATCCATGGAGAGGGTATATAATACTGAATTCTTGCCAACAAAATTCAATAAAGGAAATTCAAAATTATGAACGCGTCAACAGACCTGTCTGGTTTATATTTTCAGCCTTAGGTTCGCACTGGCCAGGAATGGGTACATACTCGATATTTCATATTTTATTAATAAATCACGTATCACTATTAAATGATATAATTTATAAACTAAAATCTTATTAGGTCGAAATTTATTAAAGTTCCATGTCTTTGCAAAAACGATAAAAAAGTGCAATGATGTTTTAAAGCCGTACGGTATAAGTGTCATAGACATTATAACAAAAATGGAAGAAAATATAAGCGAAAGCAGGTTGAACATTTTTCTTGGAATCGTCGCCATTCAGGTAAACTATCCATTATTTTTCATATAAGGAGCAGATTTTCAAACTGCATTTTGTCCAAAATTTCATTTTTTAATTAGAAATAGTTTTCAGTGTTGAAATATCATATTATAAGTTACTCTGAGATGTTCAGAAAGCATTTTTTTTATCGTTAATTTACACGTTGAAAAAACATACATACTTCGAAGACTATGTTTTTAACAAGAGACAAATAAAATGCATATGTCTAACATTTTTAAGCAATTGTTTTGCTATTTTGTTTAATATTTCACATCCTATTGATTAGCATATTATTTTCTGTAAATTGCGTAATTTTCTTGTATGCGTAATTTCTTTCTTCCTCATTTTCTGGAAATAAAAAATTTTGGACAAAAGACATTTTCAAAGTCTGCTCGTCATATATAAAATATTCTTTTACAAATGGAATACTTAACATGGGGTAATGATTTTAACTTACTTACTAAAATTTTTTTACGCATAATATTTTGCGATTATATTTCCTATATAAAATAAGCCGACATGTATTTTCGCAATATTTTTTGGTCAATATTTCCGAAAATACAGAAAATTTTACGTAAAGTTTTCAAACTCGCCGATTAAATGCTTCTTAAAATCGCGATAATTCCATTTCTATTCATCCTACAGAGTGTTCCAAATTAGATTTATTTTTAATATAAAATAATTATTTACATTTACGTATTTATCATTATAATTATTGTTATTATATTATAATTATTATAAACAACACAAATTAAAATATTTAAAGTCATTTTATTGCTCAATCAGCAAAATAAAAATTTTTTAAAAATGCCATTGTATTTCTCGTTAAATTTTCTATAAAAATCATATTTTTTAACATAGTCATTTGATATTATCTGGATGGAAGAAATTAAGTACCGCGGCGCGGCGGCGGCATGTACTTATTAATCTGATACATCACCATCGTACTGCATCCGTGTGAAAAACTAAAAAACCTAGGGTGCCTTCCAACAAGAGACCATAAACATATAAAATAGACTTTAGCTATGTCCCTATAAACGCTATGTTGTTATTTAATATTAAGTAATATTTTAATGTTATTTAATATTAAGTAATATTTGAAATATATTCTCTTAGAATATTAAATGTAACATCTCAAAAGTATTTTATTAAAATAATATGATATTAAATATCCTCGAAATATTATATTAATGGACGGTTATATGTCCACTCCTGATGATGTGTTATATTATTATTAAAAGTAACATTATTTAATCTAATAAATGTTACTGTAATATTATTTAAACATTAAAAAATATCATAATAGAGCATTTACTTTAATTTGTAAAACTGCTACATTTATTCAATATAAGTATACGTTTAAAGACTGAAAATAATTTTGGCGCGCAGTTGTAGTACTGGATATGTACTTAAAATCAGGCCGAAACATTTTTTTAGGACAAGATGCAGCATAGATTAATGAGAACTTTTCGCGTTACCGGATTGTGAATTCAAATTGCACTAAATTAAAAATAAGTAATATTTATAAATATTTTAATATATCAGGGATATATTAAGGATATAATACCAATATTATATAAGTGGACATACGAGTATAATGTATATAGTCCATAAAATACTCTCGTAATATTAAAAATTATTATATAATATTCTCAAAATATTATAATAATTAATTTTAATTTTGCGCTTATAGAGATATAGCGACAGCCCGAGCAGCGCGGACGTGTTAAGGTTAAGAAGAAAAAATGACACAATTAAAATCGAGATCAGAAACCATTTTTATCCTCATAAATCTCTTAAAGGACTTAATTTGAAATAAAAAAAAATTTTAAACTAGAACATAAATATATCGTTTTAGTTAAAAAAAAGAAATCATCCGCTTTGCTCGACCTCTTTGGGCAAAGTGAATAGATCACATGTGCAATGCAAATAAAATTTAAAGAATTAGAATCAGTCTTGGCAATCGTCACAAAAGTATTGTAGCTACCAAATCCTCTATATATAGTGCAGCCTTCATGGGCTCATTTAGTGCAATAACAACAATGGATTAGTCATAAACAAATCATCATACTGCATTGTGGCAAAAAATAAACAAAAATTATGTAAACAAACACGTATGTTTCGTACACTCGAAAGATCGTCTGTATTCCCAGTATTTTTCATTATAATCATATACCGAGTAATGAGGATAAATCATCCGCGTTGCCCCTATCCGCTTTGCGCGAAGGACCCACCTAACGCAAATTTGGAAAAGTTAGAATAAGTTGAAGCATCAACTAAAAAATTTTAATTTTAAATACACGTTTAAAGACACAGAATTCTTATAAAAAATTATTCACACTGGTTAAAAAACAATTACAGATAATAATTAAACTATGTATAAGGAACGCGTAAAAAGGATCTTATATATTTGACAAAATCCATTTGATTAGTTAAAAAAGGCCTTGTATAGAGAAAAGACTCCTATTATATATGAATATTGAGTTCATTCTGGATAAATGTTAGAAATCTATGAGCAGAATTTAAAAAAATAATAAGTCATTTTGAAGGAAATTTAATAAACTTTAAGATAATAAAACTCTTAATTCTAGGTGTTAAACACTCAAAAAAACACTCAAATTTTCGGATCGTCAATTGAAGGTTATACGAAATTGAAGGTTAACGCCCAAAGAAAACCATGAAAATAAATAGCTTTATTATATAAAATTACTTAATTATTATAATTCTGTTTTATTGCTAAAATAATATTATTAATCTGCATTATACGAGGGTGGTCCCAGAAGTACCCGACCTAACAAAGAAAACACAAAAAATTTGGGAAAAAATATCTTTATTTCTCAACATAGTCTCCTTTTAGCTCGATACACTTTTCCCAGCGATGT